AGGATGATTCTAGCGATTCTAACTCCAATTTATGCATCATGTTTATCTAGTTTTATATATGTATACTTCAACATCTGGGGTATTTCCAGTTCTCATCCATTCTTCTTTCGGATTTTCCATTTCGGGATCATGGAAACCCCCCAATCATTAATCCTCTCCTGAGCAACACCAAAAAGCCGAGGCAGGACTGTTGGATCACCGAAAAGGCGCTTCCCACCATGAAGAAGCCGCTGACGGATGGGCAGAAGTCGGGCCGTATGAGGCTGCGCACCTGGGATGATGATTTTGTGGCGGGTCGAAATGTCGAAAGCCAGGTTTTTTATGAAAAACCATGGGAAAAAACAATGGAAAAAACAAGAAGATGAAGTTGCAAAAACAGTTTCTTAGCATAACTGGAATGGAATGCAGGACCTGACATCAAAGTTTTGATAGCTGGAAAAGTCAGAGTTCAAAAGGGTCCTGTCCACCCACATCACAAGGATTCGAACTCTTGCTATGCCACATTTGTTCTGCCATGTTATCAAGGTCCTCAGGCAACCAATTCTTTCTGGTCTTGGCATAGATCTTTTGAGACTCTGTCAATATCTATTAATTACATCTAGCATCATTTAACTGCTTTCAACTGTTCATTCATAGCCAGTCCCGGCTCACTCTGAGGAGGGCACCAACAAAAACAGGTCCGTGTGGATAAAGTCAAAGACCAAGACAGCAGAACCCATCCGTCCAAAAGATTGCAGCGAAATCAAAAAGTCGATAGTGGAACATTCAAGGACCGACAGGGCAGGGCCAAGATGTGCAAAAGACCGCATGGAGGGCAATGATCCCACTGTTGCAGCTGCAAAGAGAGATGTCAAGGATTCAAATTTGGCCCAACCAGCTGCCAATGTCACCAAGCCCAAGCAAGCGGATGTTTGTACAAATATTGAAGATTCGACATGCGCATGGTTTAGCACCGACAGTGGAAAGTCCAAGTGTGCAAAGCTGTGAAGCAACAAGGAAAAGTCCAAGTTAGAAATTCCCACTACAGAGACCTTTCCACCATAACAAGCTCCAAAGACGCTCAGCGAGGTGATACTCACTGCCCCGGCTGACAAGGTCAATCCAGCCTTAGCTGCGTTGACGACGAAAATCAAGAGATCGAGTCACACAAAGCCTTGAAGAAACATCAAAAATCCGGTGTGCACAAAATCGAAGACTGGCATTGCAAAGTCCATGTGAACGAGGCTGTGAATCAGCACCACAGAGCCTAGATGTGCTTGCTCAAGGATGGATAAATATCCACTGATCCGAGCAAATGTTTGAAGCAAAGGTGCAAAGCCTGGAGTAGCAGAATTCACGACGGATGATGCTCCACCAGTGCGAGCGCTCTCGACCGTAGAAATCAGAAAGCCCATCTTGCAGGAGCTTCGCGGCAGCAAGGTGCTGCCAAGGTGCAAGAAATCCAGCACTGGCGTAGCAAAGTCAGAACACGCAGGACTTCTCAGCAGAACAAATGGCGCGAGATGTGCAAAGTCCAGGACAAACGGCGCAAAGTTTAATCGGGCCGTACTTCGCACAAAAACCAGCAAGTCCAGATGCGCTGTGTCAAATGCAAAGATGCAAGATCCCATTCTTGCCAAGCCCAATGCAGAGACAGAGAAATCTAGATGACCTAGTGATCGCAGTGACAGAAGCAAGTCGACGTGTCCGAGATCAAGCACCAACATCACAGGTCCTAAGCATGCAAAGCTATGCACAGGAAGCAGAAAGCCAAGATGTCCGAGTTGAAGCACAAACGCCACAGGACCTGGCTGTCCAAATGATCTCACGGACGCGGAACTTTCCAGGATCGCCAGGCTGACTGCTGAAATTGAAGGCCCTATTCCACAGCTGCCGAAAATTGAGAGTCCAAAACCAGGTCGTGCGGATTGTCTGATCGGCAAAGCCAAGCCCAAATGCAAAAAGTCCAGGACAGGAACCAGGGAGCCAAACCAGCCGGAGCTTTGGACAAGCATTGATGGTTCCAGATGGGCTGCTTCCAACACAAACAAGGCAAAATCAAGTCACGAAAGGCTATGCAAAGACAGTGAAAGTTCAATTTGCGCATCACAGAAGACCAAGAGCGGAGGCCCAACTCTCAACTGGCTGAGGACCAAGAGAGGGGAGCTGATTTGAATGAGTTGCCTCAACGGAAATGGAAAACCAGCAGTAGCAACATCCACCACCAAAATTGCAAGACCCAGCCTGGCAGAGGATCTCAACAGCAACGGGAAACCAATATGTCCAAAGCCCAACAGGGGAATTGCCAAGTTCAGGCGGCTAAAGGAGCGCAGAAGCAACGCAAAGCCGAAATGAGCAGCATCGAAAATGGGCATGAAAAAGTCAAAACAGGAGATGCCGAGAACTAACGACAAAGATCCCAGGTGAGCGAAATTCCGCACTGGCGCTGGCAAATCAGCATGTGCAAATTGCAAGACGAAGAGTGAGAAGCCCAGTTGTGCGAAACTCCTCAAGAAAAGACTTAAGTCTAGTCCAGCAGTACAGAGGACAGAGGTTGTTGCGCCCACTTCCATGTTGCTCAAGGCCGAAGGCATTGGGCCCATTTCCACCTTATCAATGGTTGGCAACAAACTGTTTGATCAGGCCATACCGGGGGTCGACACCGCCAGGTCAATGCGTGCGAAACTGCGCATAGAGAAGGAGGAACCAATCATGGCAAAGTCCAATACAAACAGAGCGAAATCAAGGTGTACAAAGGATCGCACCAACAAAGAAGAACCCAGGTGCATTGTTTCTGTAACACTGAGAACTTGGGTTTTCTCGAACTTGATGGCATTGAATACCAACAAGAAGGAGCCTGGACAAACAAGGCCTCTGATCAACATGGAAGGTCCAGCATGCATAAAGTCAGCGATAGATACAACGAAGTCTGAATGAGCGGAACTGTGCAGCGGAAGCATCAAATCAACGTTCGCATACTCAAACAATGGCAGAAAAAAGCCTGACCTGCATACCCGAGGGACTAGTAGCGGCAAGCCCGAATAAGTCAACGAGTGTAGCAACAAGGGAAAGTCGAGATGCAACTGGAGGAACACTGGCACAACTGGTCCCAGACAAGCAAAGCTTTGAAGCGACGGCAATGAGTCCAGTGCCGCACCACCAAAGATCAACAGGAAAAATGCAGGTCGTGACATCCCCACGGTCAAGACAGAAGAACCTAGGTATTTGGAATGTCTTATAGATGACAAGGAGTCAAGACTACTGAAGCCCAACACGGGAGGCAAGAATTCGAGATGTGCCATCGACCTTGCTGATGCAGCAGGGCCTAGGTTTACAAAACTGAAGACCAACAGAAGGTTACCCATTTCCACAAAATTATCGGCTGACATGGTGAAACCGGGCTGCACACTATCCATCACAAATACTGTGGACGACAATCGCACCATGCCAAGAATTGAAACTGCGGAGCCAGATCATGCCAGGCTATGTGATGGAAGGGGCGAGTCCACATGAATAAAGCTCAAAGCAGACAGTGCCAAACCCATGCGAGCAAAGCTGTGCAAAAACACTGGGAAGTCTATGTTAGCTTCTCCAAACAGAGGCACTGGAAATCCTGGGCAGGCCAATCCACAAATCAAAAGAGCGAAACCAAGACAGACGTGACTTTGCAAGGACGTGAAGAAGCCTGGATGATTGGCATCATAGGTGGAGAGTGAAAAGCCAGGACAAGCAAAGGATCTGGGAGGTGTCATGAAACCCAAGTGCAAAGGGTCAAGCACCGACGTAGCAAATCCAGAACATACCATACTTTGTGCAAACAAAAACAAACCCAAATGGGCAGACTCTAAGACGAAGACTCCTGATGCCATTCGCAAAAGTCCAACGAGTGAAAGGATCAGGTCAAGATGTGCTGGGCTTCTCAAGGGTAGGCTTGATTCCACGTGGCTGCTGTCTGGAACAGAAAAGAAAAATCCCAATTGTGCAAAGGTTCTCAGAAGGGGAGCCAAATCTGGGTGCAAAAAATCGAAGACAAATGAAGAAAGGTCGACTCGCGCACAGCCCAGGACAGGCACAGCAGAGCCTGTTCTGGCGAATTGTTGTGGCAACAAGAACGAGCCAGTGGAGCTAGGCTCAAACACAAACAAAAGTGATCCCAATCATGCGAGGCTACGAGGCAGCATCAAAGGGCCAAGATGAGACAAGCCCAACACGCTCACTGCGAATCCAATGCACGAGAAGCTGTGCAACAACAACGGCGAGTCGAAGTGCACAGCATCAAATATAGACAAGGAGAGACCGAGCCTAGAGACGCCAGAGGCAAACACAGAGCTTTCAGGTTGAGCGAAATTGTGTGGGAACAGCAATGGCCCGACATGAACAAAGCACAATGCCGGCACTGAAAAGTCAAGTTAAGCAGGACTATGGGGTGAAGGTGGAGAGTCAATGGATGCAAAGTCCAGCAGCAACATGGCCAAACCCAGACGAGCTGGGGAGCGCACCGACACGGAGGGATCGATGTGTGCTGCGTCAAACACTAAAATTGTCAAGGCCAGTCGCGAAACTCCCAGCACAAACACAGCACTTCCAAGTCATCCGAAACTGTGTGAAAAAAGCGATGGTTCTACGGCACCAAAGTTGAAGATCAGCAGAACTGATCCCAGTTGTGCAGGAGACCGAAGCAGCGGCAAAGGCTCAAAATGGGCATTGCCAGACGCTGAAAGTGACGGGTCCATTCGAGCGCATCCAGAGACTGAGGCAGCAAAGCCAGGTCGTGCCAAACTGTGCAAGGACATCAAACTGTCCAATTGATTTGCATCGAATGCCAAAAGAGAGGAGCCCAAACACGCGAATGACCTCAAGAACATCGAACTGTCGACGGATGCAAATTCAAGAATCAACAACACAAAAGCCAATCGAACACAGCTGTGGATCGACAGTGTTAATCCAAGGGTAGCACAATCGAAGACTGGCGCCAAAGAGTTCAATCAGCTAAGTCCACAGGTTGAAGCCGTTAGGCCCAGTTAAGCCAAGCTTTGGAGAGACAAAAGGAAGCCCAGGTTTGCAAAGAATAATATTAACACAAGAAAACCTGATCTGGCAAAGCTTTGTACCAACAGCAAAAGGCCCATAAGTGCAAGATCTGACGCTGGCGGCAATGAAGCGATGCATGTGACTCCAAGAACCAGCAGCGTGGATCCAAGGATGTGGGAGCTCTTGATAGGCACCAAAGAGCCATGTCCAAGATTTCCCCGTGGCGACAAGCAAAAGTCGGGGCGCATAAAACTCCGGAGCAAGATCGAGAAGTCAGCAAGCAAGCAGTCCAATGCTGACGTTGAAGGTCCCAATTGAGCAAGGCTTCTCAAAAAGAGCGCTGGACCAAGGTGCAAAAAGTCAAAGGCAAAGGGCGATGAGGCGCAGCGCACCATGCCAAAAACGGACACAGAGCTTTCCAGACATGCCACATTCCTCAACAAAGACAAGGATCCCAAGCTGCTGAAGCTTGGCGCAAACAAAGACGGATCAAGATGTGCAAAAGACCTCAAGAACAGTACTGAGTCCAAGAAGGCACCATCAAACGCAAACAAGAAGCTGCCCATACGGGTCATGCTACCAACAAAGAGTGGTGGTTCAAGTCGGGCAGGTGACCGCAGTAATGATGGGCTACCAAGGTGGGTGCAGTCATAAGCAGAAGGCATAAGTCCAACTTATCCGGAGCTATGCAGCAACATTGAAAAGCCCAAATGAGCAAACTCTGAGATCAACGGCACGGAACCTAGCTGAGCCAAGCTCCTTAGCAACGACGACAAGTCTAAATGGGCTCCATCAAAGATTGAAGGCAAAGAGCCTGATCTGCAAATGCCCACAATTGAAGGCATTGGATCAGCTCGCACCATGCTTTGTGGAAGCATAGGCGAACCTGTTTCAGCGGCTTCCAGAATCAGCAAAGCAGAATCAGGTTGGGCAAGAGATCGAATAGAAGGAGGAAATCCTGAACTCGATGCTTCGAGGGCAAACATCACACTGTCCAATTGCGCAAAACTGTGCAAGAATGAGGACAAAGCCGCGTGCGACGCATCAAACGCTGGAACCGCCGAAGCCACTCTGGAAAGTCCACATACGAACAGGACGCTTCCAAGTCGAGCAAGCGATTGCAGGAACATCAAACTACCCACGGTCACATAATCAGAAACCAACAGCACAAAGCCCAATCTGGCAAGACTTCGTACTGGCAAGGAGAAGCCAAGGCGGAAGCTGGCTGTGACAGAGGAGGTATCGTCAAGACGGAAGACTTGACTACTGGATACCGTGAAGCCTGGGCATAGGAAGCTTCGGATCAACAGAATGCTGTCGATGTGGACAAAATCAGAGGCCGAAAGTACCAGACCTGACCTCGCAGAGCTGCGGACCAACACCGGAAGACCAAGGTGCGAAAATTCCAACACAAACGTGACAAAACCAAGACATGCAGGGCTTTGCGACAAAATCAAGAGGTCTGGATGTAAAAAGTCTAAGGCAGATGAGGAGAATTCTATTTTGCCGCAGCCTAGCACGCTCAAAGTGAAACCAAAGCGCGCGAAGCATCTGAGAGGCACGGTCAAGTCCGTCGATGCGAAGTCAAGCACCAAAAGAACGCTTTCAAGACAGCTGAGGCTCTTCAAAGGCATCAAAAAGGCAACGGTTCCTGTATCAAAAAGTAACAACAATGAGCCGAGCCAAGAAACACCCAGCACAAAAAGAACGCTACCAGATTGAGCAAAGGAATGCAGTAGCATCAGCGAACCAAGGTGTTCAGCCATCAAGGCCAACAGGCTTGGGTCCAGACGTGCAAATGATCTCAGGAAAAGTGACAGATCTGCATGGGCAAATTCCAGGAGAAACGGGGCCAAATCAAGTCACGCCAGACTTCGCACCAGAACTGGTAAACCCATCAAGCCGCTGTCAAAAATCAATGCTGTAAGTCCAAGACATACCATTCCAAAGGCTGAGGCTGGTGAACCCAATCGGCCCATTGACTTCAGAGACGGGGACAATTCGACCTGTGCATGGTCCAAGGTTGGCAAAGTCAAGCCGGGTTGCGAAAGGCTGCGAGGCAAAAGGGATGAACTCATAACACCTGCATCAAAGACGAAAAGGGAAAAATCGGGCTTGGCCATGCTAAATACAGAAACCAACGAATCTGCCCATGCCAAGCTTCGGAGTAGAGGAGAAAGCCCTAGATGCGAGACTTCCAGAATTGGCGGAGCCAGATCGAATTGCGCAGAAGACCGGGCCGACGGGGAGGGTTCTGCATGGCCGGATTCAAGCGCTGGCACTGCAAGTCCCATGTGCCCAAGGGAACGTACTAACACCACGGAACCCATTGTGCAACTGTCAAACACAAATGAAAAGCTTCCGAAGCTGAGTTTGGATATGAGAAGCAGCAATAAACCAGGCTGTCCAAAGCTTTGCGAGGAAATCAAAGATCCCAAGCCCCCATGATCAAGCACCAACAGAAGCAGATCTGGTCTTGCGAGCGATTGCAGCAGCATAGTTGACTCCAGATGTAGAAAATCAAACACGAACAGAATCAAACCAAATCAATTCACGCCAAGCGTTGAAGGCACATCTTCGGTGCAAGCTATTTGTCTTACAAACGGAAATGGGTCAATAAAAGCGAGGTCCGAAATAAAGACCGTAGATTCAGAGTATGCAGAGCTTCGAAGCGAGACCGTTGATCCGACACTCAAACAGTCCAAGGCTGACACAGAGGGGTCAGGTTGAGAAGAGCTCCGCAGGGGAAGTGTTGATTCTGAATGAGAACAATCAAACACGAATGCTGGTGAATCTGGTCGACATGGTCCCAGGATCGACGAGAAACTCTCAAGGCATCCGAAGCTTCGCATAAACATCGGGCTTCCCAAGGAATTTGCATCAAGCACGGACAGAGAAAAGCCTGGATGTGCAAAGGAATGGAGTGACAGTGTAGAGCTAAGAGCACTCGCATCAAAGGTAAAGACGGAAGAATCGATGCAACTTGAGCCCAGCACTGGAACCACAAAGTCAACTTGTGCAGAGCTTCGAAGAAACAGCAACAACCCCAAAGCAGCGTTGCAAGAGGCTGGTGACAAAAAATCTGGTTGAGCAAACGACCGAACAGGTAGGCAAGAGCCGAGATGGACTGCCTCCAACACAGAGACTCCAGAGTTGAGATGCGCAAAACTTTGCAAAGAAAGCAGAAGCTCTGGATGTGCGGCGTCCAAGATCAAAAGAAAGAAGTCGAAACGGCCCACTCCGCAAACAGACAGTCCTGAATCGAGACACGCAAAGCTTTGCAGCAAGGGTGACGAACCACAATCTGCAGACCTTAGCGCTGGAAAGGCGGGACCTGATTGTGCAGAGCTCTTCAGTGGAACTGACAATCCCAAATGAGCAAATTCCACGACAGGCAGAACTGGATCTGGACAGGCAAAACTTTGCAAAGGTGGCGACAAGTCTATGGCAACTGCATCAAAAAGAAAGATGCAGAAGTCTGCACAAGTCATTCCGAGAACCAGCAGTGTCAAGCCAAGACGACCCAAACTTCTCAAGAAAATTGAACTTTCTACACTTGAATGATCCGACACTGATGGAGGCAAACCCAAACATGCAGAGCTTTGCAGGGGAAGCAAAGAGGCCATGAGTGCGACGTCAAAGACCAACACCAGTAGGTCAGACCACGCTATGCCGAAAACTAAAAGTGCAAAGCCCACATGTCCAGAGCTGTGCAGCAATGGTGAGAAGCCACAGTGACCCACGTCAGACACAAACAAAGGCAAGCCAAGTTGCGCAAAACTTTGGAGAAACATGAGAAAACCAAGATAGTAGCTATCGACAAGCAACAAAGCCAGACCTGTGCGAACAAAGCTTCTGACCAAAGGGATCGATTCCAAAGTTGCAGCATCAAAGGCAAACACTACGAAGCCCGGTCTGGACAAACTGAGTGCTGACAGTAGGAATTCAAATCATGCAAAACTTCTCAAAAGCACCGAAAATCCAACATGTGCAAAGCACAAGGCCAACAGAGATAAACCAAGACATGCAAAACTTCGAATCAACGGCAGAGAGTCCAAATGTGTCTTTCCAATGGCGGATAACGTGCTCACCGATTCGACCCCTGATTCTCCAAACAAAAACAGCATCGATTCAAGGCAGACAGGACCTTGAGGTGGAAGCAAACTGTCTGAGTGTGCGAAGTCCGTCGCCAAAGGCAACAGGCCCAATTGAGAAAAGCTACGCAAAGATGGCGCAGGTTCTGGGTGCAGAGAGTCAAACACTGACAGAAACAAGCCCAAGCATGCCACACGACAGACTGAAGGTACGAGATCTGCACAAGCGAGGTTTTGCAAAGGCATTCCAAATCCAAGATTCGTATGGTCTGATACTGGAGGAGGAAGGCCGAGGCACGAGAGTGATTGTAGTGACAGGAAGAAATCGAGAGTTGTAAATTCCACTGGAAGCGGTGAAAAACCCGAGCACACATTGCTTTGAGTTGGTGCCAACAAACCAAGGTGTGTAAATTCCAACAAAGACAGTGCTGGGGCAAGTTGGGCCAGGCTTCGGGCCGGAATAAATGATCCCAATGCCGCAGCATCGAACACCAGTAGCATGGATGCCAGACACGCAAGTCCAACCACCAACAGAAGAAGACCCGGTTGTGCGAAGCTTCGGAGCGACATAAGGAAGTCTAAGTTATTGAATTGGAGAACCAAGGGAGCAAAACCAAGGCAACTGAAGCTTCGTGCCAACAACATCGAGTCCATAGCTGCAAAGTCAAAGATTGACATTGCGACATCCATACAAGCAGCACCAAGTAGCAGCGCCATAAATCCTACTCAACCCATGCTCCTGGGCAAAGGAATCAGCTCAATGTGCACAAAGTCTAAGACTGGCACAAGCAGCTCAGGTTGGGCAAAGCTTCTGACGGATATCAAAGATTCTAAATGCGCAGCATCAAAGATCAATGATGAGGATCCCATGCGGCACACTCCTGGTGCTGAAACAGCCAAGTCCATTCTTGCGGGACTTTGAGGAAGCAATGAAGAGCCAAGATGATTCACAAAAAGTACCGGAAGCAAGGAGCCTGACCTTGCAAAGGATCTGACCGGCAACAAAGAATCGAGGGAAGAACATTCCAAAGCCAAAATAACAAAACCCAGATGTGCAGAACTGTGCAAGGGTAGGAAGAAGTCAAGATGCAAAAGATCGAGTACAGACAGGGTAAAGTCACCGCAGCCTAGCCCCATAATCAAAATCAGCAAGTCCAAGTGGCTATAGCTTCGCAAGGGCACCAAAGGCTCTGGAGAACTGAAGCTCGAGATAGGTATCACAGGTTCCGTTCGTGTAGGGCTTTGCACAGACAAGCTCGAGCCTAAGAAGCCAAGGTCCAAAAGTGGCACTAGCGGTTCACAACATGTCACGCCAGGAACAAGCGAAATGGAGCCGGGCCATGTGAATTCCCTCAATGAAAGCAAAGAGCCAATCTCTGCATACCTGGGGACTGATAGGACGAATTCGAGCCGAGCAGAGCTGCGCAAAAACGAAAATGACCCAATGGTTGCAGCCTCCAATGCCAAGGCCGCTGAGTCTGAATGAGCGAAGGAGCGAATGAACATGGGGAAGCCGAGATGTGCAGCATCAAATGTCAACAGGCTGAAGCCCATTTTGGACATTCCCAAGGATGAAAGGCTAAGTCCCAAGCAAGCAAGGCTTTGCAACAGCACAGAACTTCCTATACTGCTGTGATCCAACACCAACGAGAGCGGGTCTAGTCTTACAAAAGAACGCGCCGACAAAAACGAGGACATACGTGCGAAATCTGCAATGGAGAGAGAGTAGCAACTGCCAAATTTCAGCATTCCACTGACTGACGAAGCGCTACCAACTCTGACGGAATCTCGAAGAGAAAGCAAGAGACCCACCTTTCCAAAGTCCAAGGTCGACAGCGGAAAGCTTAAGCAAGCAGAGCTTCGCACAAACACAGCTAGACCAAAGGTCACTACATCAGACACCAAGATCGAGGATCCAAAGCAGCACAGGCCAAAGACCGGCAGTGTCAAGTTCGGACACACAGATTGTTGCGCAAATGCCAAAGGTCCAAAGTGACTACAATCCAGAATTAACAAGACAAAGTCTGATCATGCGAGTAACCGCAAGGACGTTGAACTGTCAAGAGGCGCAGGATCCAGTAGAGGCAGGGCTGGTCCGAGTCGAACTAAGCTGTGAACTGAGGCTGAAAGGCCAACATGAGCAGAGTCCAGGATCGACAATACACTATCAAGTCGTGCAAAGCTGTGCAGGGACAAAAACAAGTCAATGCCTGCGAAATCGGAGACGGATACCACTAATCCAACCCGAGCGCGTGCCAGAACAGACAAACTAAATCCTGAATGAGCCAAGGATCTTGAAGACAATGAGGATCCAACAGTAGTGCAGTCAAACACCAGTAAGGCCAAGCCCAGTCGCGCAAGGCTTCGCGGAAATGACACGGAGCCCAAGCGGGAGACGTCAAAGACTAGAAGCAGAAATTCAGAACAAGCCATGCCCAGAGCTGATGCTGCCAAGTCCATACAACCATGCTGTTGCAATGACAACAGAAAGTCCATGGAACCGAGGTCGAAGACTGACATCACAAAGTCCAGTCATGCAG